AACCTGAATTTTGTAGGGTTCTAACAGAGTATATTATACAATCATAAAGGTAAGCACTTTAGATACTCTGTAATTTTTATATTATATTTTATATTTTATATTATATATCATATACATATATGTTTTGCTGTAGATCATTTTATCATGAATCTCACAATACATGTTGTGCATATAAAATCATAGTTTTTATTTTGACGTCAACATTTTCACTTATATTATGTTAAACGGGGCGGGTAGCCTTATTGATAATGCATATAAATTGTTAATTCATGTTGAAGGCTTGACTAAATGTAACAATGATCCATTTTAAAAAGAATATGTTTATTTCGGTGCCTATGGAAGGAGTTTTTCAACCTATAATAGATGTACTTGTCATGGCTTGCTATATCTAATAGTTTAATTTCTAATAAATAAAACTTATATTAATAAACTCTTAGAAACGGAAATAAATTAAAATCTAGTGAAACAACTACAAAGGATAGCTCGATGAACCGTTGTAATGTAACTTTTGCTATTGGTATCAATAACATGCATCGTATATATTTTTCATTATAGAGAGCCAAGATTCAATTTGCTTTTTCAAAATAGGTTATTTAGCTACTGCGTTGTAAAATGAACGGATTGTTTATAAAATAAACGTATTTCTTAATTGAGTTTAAAGATGTGTTAGTTAAGAAACAGTCAAATTAACGCCATATACACGAATTCGTTTAATCTACCAACGATAGTCTGATGGTGTTTTTAGAGATCGAGTTGTGTTTTTAGTATCATCACTTTTTCACACCAACAAATCACGCAATCAGTCCTTAGTATGTCCTCAAATATACGCATATAGCAACAGCGCGTAAAGAGATAAGTTTTCAAGTACTTCCGAAATGTGATTATAATTATGTACTCTCAAATCGAGCGTTTTATTAATTTTATGTAGGAGTTTAATTCCATATTCCTCATTGACACAAACTTTATATTATAACAACACTGTAACATCTTGGACCCTTATTTCTCAATATTGATGTAAATTAATCTAACACACGTGTTGTTTAATAAACTAAAAACTCGAAGATATAAACACCTTCCATTCTGCCGCATGACAATCGTGAATACCTTATGTTTCCACTTGTAGAAGTTAACTAATATAAGAATGCGATCTGCTGTTGAATTGAAAAGATTAAAGAAACTAATTATTATGGAATTAGCAGATCAAAGAAAGTCGATATTAGAACTACAGTTGAATATTGAAGTATAAATCACCTTGTATATTGTTCTATTGTTAGATAGCATGTAAAGGCTCATTGAAGTATTCAACTCAATATCAAAGGAAATGATAGTTTACTAGGACTGTGTAGAGAAAGAAATATGCACTCAGTTGTATATTAAGGTACCAATACATGTTGCCGTTTGTTGTCATTTTAGTTTCATTTTTGATTTTAAAGGCTTTATAAATTATCGGGGTAATCCATGCATAAATTGCCAATAAAGTTTAGTTCCTGAATAGCATAACGGTATGCGACGTACTGTGAATCATATAATAATCTAGACTGTCTTGTATAAGCATGGAGAAAACCTTATCTTATAATTTTATACGTTTGGTACGTTTAATAATTTCAAGAAAATATGATAAAACTTCAAGAAAAAAGTATACAGACAGGTCAAGTAAAATAAAACCTGAGTAAAAGATATAGAAATAATCGAACTTGCTTAAGGTTTTAGTTTACATCAACAAAACTGTTTTAAACAAATAATCAACAGACAGGTTTATTTTGGCGAAAATAAATATTTAAACCGCTAAATAAGATTATTCTTGTGTTATAATTGCTAAAAAACAATTTCAATAGAAATCTTTGGTTTGGTTTATACAAAAATTATTTTAGTTCGATTGTGCAAAAAACTATAAGCTTATAGACACACTTTCGAATCCGTTCCTAAAACTAACCAGTACTGAGCAATGGGTGTAAAGTTTCTTGCTCTAGGAAACAACGACTTGCCCCTGACGGGGTTTGAACCCATGCGGCTAGCGATCATGAGATTACAAGTCCGACGCGTTAACCACTGGGCCATGTAAATCTTTGGTTTGTAATGTACCTCTAAGTTGTACAAAATACTTTAAATATATTAGTATGTATTTCCTACGTTCATTCAATTATTGATGTTAAACTACTAAGTGAATAATGAGTATGCATATAAATAGAATATTTAGATAGCTTAAGTTAAAGTTTCCGGTAACGTCTTTAGTACAAGTACATGTTAACAGTCGTAAGCTAGTTTTCACATTTTGTTACTTATTTGATAATGGATAACAATGACAGTAAGTGAGTATTATAATGTATATCGCGCATTTCATTTAAATATTAGACATAGGATTATGAACAGTTTGATACGACAAACACAGGGTTAATGTCGTCAGATATAATTATTAATAAGTATGTTCATGTTGATAAGACTTCTATTACTTATTTTCTTTTTTTTTTCAGAAAAGCAACTTTGGACAAAGCTAAATGTGTATCTTTCTACAGTAGTCAGATTTTTGTTACTGTTACATGTATGGATTGGAATGAAATGAACAAAAACTTGAATCGTTTTGTAGGTAGCATTTATTTATATATTTTATGTTGATATATCAGTATAATTAATACAATAGTAAAAATTCATTAAATAAACATTACACATTTTGAAAATAGGTATACAATTCAATTGAAAAAAAATCAATTATATAAACTGCATTGTAATGTTTTAAACGATACATTGTTTTAAATGTCATGTTACATTTACAATGTACTTACAAGCGGTGAAAACAAGATCGTGATTGGTTCCCATTTAATATGGAACAAAACATAAAATAATCGTGTAATGGTGATTTTTTCATACATGTAGTGTTTGCGCTGAAACCACAAAACAATTAACAACGTTGATACAACATGTTTACAATTCTTACAAGTATAATTATAGATACATCAACTTACATCCTTTGTCAATTGATACTTCGATAATTAACTTTGCGAATGATGAAAAGGTGAAGCTGTAAAAAATAAATGAAGACAAATAAAATAGCGAAATGTCATTGGGCTTGTTTTCACACGTTAAGTTTTCTTTCCTGTGAGATGAAATGCAGGGAACGTTACTGAATGTCAAGAGTAGGATTGCTAGTATTGGATATTGTTAAAACCATCGATGTTAGAGTCAGTTATTTTAGGATAGTGAACGCGTTCAGTATGCAAACTCCACGGATATTTATATTATAAGGATATTTACATTACGAATACAGGTTATATTTTACGGATTAAACAAAACAGTCTTCATGCATTTAAAATGAATGAATGGAAAGTAAATACTTATTAAATAAAATTCAACAAATATGTATAATGAACAAGAATTCGCTATCAAGAGTTTTATAAAAGATAAAGGTTGAAATATTTCAAAAACAATTTAAGGTGTGTTATTTGTCTGAGATAGTTGCATTGTTTTGTAAGATTATTCTTACAATGAAATCATATTTCCTTTTAAATGTGTTCATGTATTTATTATATATTTAATACATATTTGCATTAATTTTCTTAATACAAGTCATGTTTTTATTTCTATGATTCCTTTTACGGTACGTATAGATTACAAAGTAACAAATAATATTTTGCTCCTTTTGCTACTTCAGAATGTCAAATAAAAGAAATCAAAGTTCTCAGCAGTGGATCTAATGAGTTACAGGGTTTTGTGTTTTTGCAAGAATTGTTCCATTTTATTCACACTCAGAGGGAATGGAAACTGTTTCATTGCAGGCTTTTGTTCATGGTTTGTATGTGCTTAATTTTATATTCATAACATGCAACAAGAATGAAGAAATAAGTTTCCTCAAATGGCAACAATGACATGTGACGAGGATACAATTACGCGAATTATGCATGCAAATTATATGGATACCTCGGCGTACTTTTTGATTACGATTTCTGCTGTGGTTGTTTTTATGGGTACTAAAATTGTGTTCAGCAAAATTCGCAGAGACATGGCACAATCAACAGTGATAATAATAGGAGCTGGTCCTATAGGTTTGACTTCAGCACTTATTGCTGTTCAGTGTACTCGTGTAAGAAAACTAGTGCTGTATGAGGAACATACAAAATCCAACGTTGAAAAAAGAATGTATCAGATAACCATACAATCCCAATATGTGTCATTTCTAAGGAGTTATGGGGTTGATTTTGACAACTTAGAAGGGTTATGGAAAGATGGATGCTTTTACACACGGGCTGGAATATACCTTGAATATATATTACACATTTTACCACTTTATGCAACAGACATCGATATGAAATTTGGCACAAAAGTAAGTGGAATTATTGCCTTCAATAAGTCTTAACAAGTTCAACAAAATGATTTAAAAATCTAATACATTTCCTTTTATAGATTTCATCAAAACATAAAACTAATTAATTTTTAGGGTTTGCAACACGTAATGTCTATAAAGAAATCGTTATTGCATCCAGTCTTCACGTTGTTAGTAGCCTTGTGTCAATTTCCAGAGCCCAACAGTTCCAAATCAAATGTATAAACTATCTTACCCCGTACAGCCTCGATTTATTTCAGGAGTTCAAACACTCATTCTATTAGACTCGTACACAACTGCAAAATCTATATATTATTATGACCCAGCTAGCGCCGACACAGTTCTGACTGCTATGCATTCGTCCCATATAATTCAGTATTGAACTAATCAATGTAGGATAACCTCATATTGTTGGACACTATAATGGAATAAGCTATGTCGTATCTTTGTGTTTGTGTACATTACACACACTGTATTATAACATTCTACCTTTGATGTTTATATCTAAGTCACTTAAGTGATGGAAATAGGCACATACATATAAATGTATCTTAGTACAAGGTAGAAAGCGCCTAATGGGAATTTTCAGTAATAAGTTGCAAAAGTGACCCAAAATAATGCAAGAAATCAAACTTGAGAAAATTGTACTAAGATATTAAAACAATAAAATGATCCAATATTCAAGGATTAATTACAAGTCACCATATTATTATTGCGTAACGAACGCAATAGGGTCTGTTGTTGCATATATTACTTCTTTCTGGTAATTTACACGAAATGTTAATTTTGTTTGCAATGTGTAGATAACCTTTTAGTTCACTTTACAATATTTTTCTTTTAAATATATTTTCAAAAGGCGTGCGTCTTTAAATTACAGGAGAGAATAAGATATTGTGCTGGGCTAAATGTAAAACCAGTGTCCCGCTTATTTCAATGCAACAATATGTTTCGTATATATTTGTATTTTTACTGTACTTTTCTATTAATATAAATATGTTAAATCAAAGGAAATAGCCAATTTCCTGCTAGCTGACTAATAATTGCTTATTAAATCACACTAGAAAGATCTTATTTTTGTATCAAAAAGGTCATCATTTTGACCTTTTATTATATAATATGATATGATATTGAAATAGTAAACAAGTTAATTATTTGACTATAGTAAATTTTTTCAAACGAAAATATATTATTAGTACTTTTATTATGTTGCATTCAAGTGAAAGATTAACATTTTTTATATGACATTTTTATCCTAATTTTCTGAACGTTTGTATAATTATTTATGTCTATATTTCAGTTTTGTCGTGACAGCAGTGACATAGTTGATCAAATATCTGGACGTAAGTTGGTAATATGTTGCGACGGATCTTCAGGACTTGCATCAACTACTTTAGGACTTAGTGATGAATGTATAATTCACCCAAGTGGAATATTTGGAGCTGTTGCTTCTTTAGAACGTAACAATAAAACACTAGTACCAGCACCTGAAAAACGTGTTCATAATCTTTCCTTCGATATATCGGCGTACAATTCTTCTGCCTTTGAGGACAATGGAGGTTCACCGTTTACTTTGAAGATTTTTGGAAACACAAAATATAGACATTTAGCCTTAGCCATTAACAAATGTGATTCAAATGTTTTCAGGGTTTTAAGAACAGTATTAGATAAATCGGTAAGATATTTTTAGTTTGCTGCCTATACAACCATGCATTTCTTTCTCGATGTATTCAATACAAAATACAAAATCTCAAAGATATAATAATTGTAAATAAAATGCCGTGTAGCAATGTTTGCTTTACAATAATAACAAAGTCCATTGAGTGATCTTTTTTTCCATTTTGATACCTGTAAATACCAAAGCTAATAATTCAAAAGTATTATTTGTTTATTAAGTCATCTAATATTGCAGAATGATTTATTATTTTGATTTATTTACATTTTAAAAGTTAAGACAGATGCACACATGATAATTAAAAAAGAAAAAAACTTTTGCATTCATTTTTCAGATGATGAGAAATATATTTTTGAAATGTTTCAATACTTACAAGCTGTCAGACGAAGCGAGTATAAGTGACTCATATTGCCTCAACAACATGAAGTTTAGCCCAAGATTGTATGAAATTAAACTGTCACAGAAGATGGAAAATGTTGTTTACATAGAAGACTGTGATCTTTTTATTATAACAGAGGGCGATGCTTCAAGATCGTGTAACTTTAATACAGGTAGTATTTCAAAAGCTTCTAAGATTTAACGGTATTCTGTATCAAATTCTTACAAAATAGTATCATTCTCTGTGAGGTATTTAACCGGAAATACCAGTATGAACCTTTAAACAGTGTTTACATAATTTTGAAGCAATATAGATTTAAGTTATCTATTTAACGACATAAACAATGTCCGAAATGACAGCTATTTATTTTGTAAAAGTTTATAATTGCTATGATAACTATGTTACATATAATTATAGCATATTTTTTGAACGATAAACCTATTCTGGAAATAGGATCTTAAACTACCAAATTTAAAGAATGTTATTTTAATTCATTTTGTTCTTTACACGGCATTTTAATCAATATTGTTAATAACGAAATCAAAAAAGTAAAGCAATTATTTGCCTATTTCTTCGCTTAAGGTAGAAAAAGTTTAGCGTCTACACGTTTCGTTGCTAAGCTTTTTTAACTTTTTACTTGAACACTGCAAAACATATCAAGAAAAGGGTTGTCATATTATTTTTGTATACCTTTAACATGCATCAGAAGCCCGGTTTTTTCTAGTTTATATATTATTTCGTTTTAGGATTGGAGCTCAACATTGGCTTGCAAGGTTTAACAACGCTAGAACCATTTATAGAGGGCGTTTCTCTCGCTGAAACAGAACATTCTATTATGCATACCCTTCTTTTTAAAATGGAACATTCTGATAAAATATGTAAAGACCATTTAAAGTATGGTCTGAAGGAATTTATATTTTGATACAATGTTTGGTCAAATGACTATGCAAATACTCATACAATCTTTATCTTTAATTAGAGTAATTAAAACTGTTCTGACCAACTTATGTTTAGGAGTCTACCATGGTACTTTCATAAAAGAACTACTTCAATAGATTAGATCTGTGTTTCTTTTAATTACTTCGTCTCTTATCTAGAAATTAAATTATACAGGCAATCAGGCGCATGTCTCCAATCTGTATTTATCAATTTTGCCATCCGTTTGATCTTTGAAATAATTTGAATAACCCATTTTACTCACGCGCTGAGTAAATTACTGATAATTGTTTGCAAATGGAATGATAATACATCGCTATAAATATGTTGTAACGGGGTTAGAGAAGCTAAAATGCGCAACAACTTAAAAATAGCTTAAAATATCGCAAACTGGTTAGCACATCAAAGGTAAATTTCTTTTAAGATTTAAAATAGTTCTTATCCTTATTTCTTAAAAATGAATAATTAAGCTTCTACCATCAAATTGTAATTGGTCCTAATTTCATTTCACTTAATATGCGGAAATCTGCTGCACGATTGTTGAGATTGACTTTGTTTTATTTCAGTAATGCTCTTGTGCCCTAAAATATTATTGATTCCTGATAATATAGGTATTTTTTATTGTCGAGCTTTGTTTGAATATGGAAATAATATAATTATGAAATAATTATATCAAACTACTAAAATTAAGCTACTTACAGTATAAAGCCTGGTCAGATTGCAAACAAAAAATGTGCAGACTGACCTTGTCCTATACCTGATTCAACGGCTAGTCACTTTCGGCTCAAACACGAAAAGGGTTATGGAAACTAAAATGCCCGAAACAGATAAACGACACCTTGCAAACTTACGTAAAGCTTCATCTTAAATTTAAATGAAATATTTGAAGCGAAACAGGTTTTGTGTGTTGGTTTGTGATATTTTCATCATTATTTTACCGTATACATTCACTGTCATAGAAAAATGATAGAAATACATTTATATGTTGTACTCAGATTATTTGTTGTAAGTTTATTAAGTGTATTTGATAAATTTAATGCACGCAGAAATGACTGAAATATTAGATGAAAAACATCACGCCTACGACATAAAATCAACTCATTGACGCTCCCTACCTATTGGGTATACTTCAAACCAGTGATATGATAATTGTCATATAATTCCATTTGCTGATGAGTTTTCCAAGCAGATATTATTTTGGAGTAAATAAATAATCCAATGGGTTTCAACAAAACTTTAACTTCAATAATAATAATCGTGTATAAAGTTCTTGTCTAATCATTATAATATAAAATGCCTTTACATGCTTTAATTCAATCGTATTCTAGTCAACCTTACATCGCCACAGAAAGACAATGAAATAGAATAAACTAAAAACATCTACATAGACAACCATTATAATGTTCCATATACTGGATCAAAAAAACAAGTCCTTTGATTGCATGCAAGGGCAGCTTCTTTCAGCATCCGTGCAACCAACCCTTGTAAGACAATAAAACAGAAGCAAAGACACAAAAAAAAACTGGCAAAATCTGACAGGCTTTGTTTGATTGAGTCTATTTCGGGACATATATCGTTATGTGACAGTAAACGCCCACTGAAATGACAAAATAATCATATCAATTGTACGTCCGTCATCTGATATATCTTTATACATTATTATTTCAACTGCAGCATGAATGCCACATATACAAGTAATGCGGATGTATGATCATAAATAAATGTATAGACTTCTCACATTGTAAAATCTATCCTTTTTGAAACTGATGTTTGTAACGATGAAACTTGTGTTTATTCCACAGAGGGAAATGACATTTCAGAAAATATATTTAAAGGGGGCCTAGTTGACGATGCACAAGTGTTACTTATAATAATAATCGCAAAATGTTTTTGAAATGTCGACATGTTTTATACAAATGGGTGTAATTAAACAACATGTTTTAGACGAAATGTGCAGAGACTTGCAACTCTACAGTTTAAACATTTTTCGTCTTTTTGTATTTTGAGCAAAGAAATAAACAAATAACATATAACTTTTAAAATAAAGGAAAACAAAATCAGTAGTATTGACATTCTGTTTCGTTCCGAGCACTGTTTTCAAGAAAACGTTATTAAAAAGGGACGGAGTGAGCTCAATGCTTCGTTAGTTATGTCAACACTGTTGGCCTTTGTCAAGGATACAATGGAGTAAAACGTAATTACTTTAAATTATCGTGATCATATCGTGGGAAAGGTTCAGAGGAATGCCAACTGAATACGCTTTTATAACAATTAATCGATACATCATTGGAAATCAACTTGATTTATCTCTTGGTGATCGCTGCTCAATATAATACTTGAAACTGTCGTTATATCAATTGGTCTATGTGCCGTAGTTATTGATCAAAAGAATCAGTCAGAGTGTACAGAAGGACATTCGCACAAGCAGTTATCATTTTGTGAGACACTCAAGTAAAACAAATCAAACTGAATATAATCTTAAATTTACATCATGTCCTCCTTTCCATTGAAATATGAACAGCTATCTTTTAATACGACTGAGTTTTTTTAGTAAAATATATTAGATCGAACGATCAAATTAATCAAAATGGTCTTGTTTCAACACTAATGTCGAAGTTTAAGTGGTACTTGTGTTTTACTGAAATGTGGTTTTAATTATGACACTATAAGTATTATTTTAATAATAATAACAATAATAATAATAATAATAATAATAATAATAATAATAATGATAATAATAATAATGATAACAAATATAATAATGATAATAATAATAATCATAATAATAATAATAATTCGGTATCAGCGAAAACGGGTAGAAGAGAGCGTATTCAGTTGCCTCCAACAGCTTTATGTAGGATTTGATATGTTTTCTATGGGAATGTGAGACTTAACACAGGGATGTTAAATTTCATGTAACATGCGTCACAAAACAATGAACAAGTATTAGGAATATTCGCACAGTTAACATGTGAATAAGAAACGATATGTCAATGAAGTCATAAGGTGACATGAAAATAAATTTGTCACAGTTTCAATTTCTTTTTATTAAAACATATTGTTATTTACATGTTTGCCTTAATGTAGGCACCCTGGAGTATACCATGATTATAAGAATGATAACATTATATGCATTATGTTGTAAACATAAATAATATACATATTACATTTAATTACAATGATCCATAGCAAATATTGTAAAATGTAAGCCTAAGCTTGTGATTTTATAATATATATTGAAAATTGTAATCAACAAACACACACCAATTAGAGAAAAGATCTTTTAATAAATTGTCTCTGTATATGAGGCATACACCCCCTTTTCAATGATTCAAACTGAACAGGTTAACAAGTAGAACAAGTAAGTTTTTTTTTCTAGGAATATAAAGCTTGAAGAATAATTATTCCGAATCAAAATACAAAAAAGAACATTATTTATTTTACATTCTAAATACAGCTTTACAAAATGTATTTAAGTCAAAAGGGCCTATGCATGTATAAATCTTGATAAACTGAAGTTTTTCCAGATTTCACCCTATGTGGGTTCGAATTCCGCCTAAGACGTTGAATATTCTTTTAAGTGAGAACCTATCCAGCTTGCTACCGAAACGTCAGTGGTTTTATGCGTTGGAAACTAGTTAAGCTTGGAAGTCGCCATATGACCTCTACAGTGTTTGTGAGACGAAAAACCCAACTAATAATATTTATTAATGGTATAGAGTTGTCCAATTGAAAGCTACAAATACTGATAGCTGTAATGGCTTAAATCGATGAAGTACTTAGGTCTAATTCTACTGCATGAGGCTCACAAGAAAGTTTTTGTCGGGTGTAATTATTTATCTATCATTTATTTCTTTACACTGTCAGGCAAAGAGTAAAACTGATATATACCGTGTTTATCTTGATTTGATGAATATATGAAACAATAAATTAAAAGATACACTTTTTTATTTTATTTTCACAGCCTAGCGTCAGAAGAATTTAGCATAATAAAAGAAGTTAATTTCGAAGTAGGTGAGCTATATATGAGGCGTTCATTAATATGATAAAATTGAAAATACACACCAAAATGCACAAATCACTGCCAAATGAATGAAATCCAAAGAAAATTAGTAAACGCTCTTAAAAGTCTCTGTAACGATCATGACATGTTCAGCCTTATGAGACAACAATTTTTCTTGCATGCATAGGACGTAATTTGTTTCCTTGTTATAAGATGTCAATACCGATGCAGAAATTCCGTGTCAGCGAGTAAATGAGGATATCCAAATTGCTTTACGGTTCAAGCAAATGGTTATGCTGACAGATAAAAATTGGACATTGAAGTCTCATTAACTCTTTTTGTAGCAAATACGGTATGGACTGGTGTCAGATTTTAGGTGTATAATCTTCTAGAATTAGACGAAAACAAAGATTTTATCATTGGAATAGAAAATCATTGTCAAGCATAATTATATATTGTTCGTGATTTATTACTTTTTCTATAAAGACTCATCATACATTGCAGACAACACACATGCAAACCCAGGTTTTTTATGCAGATAATAAATGCGTTGTTCCCAGTTTAGAGCGAGTATCCGCATTATCAAGCGTTCAATTTTAAACATGAGAGGGAACTATGCGAAAATATTTATTCAATTTGTGAAAATATATGCTTCGGGATCGATCACTGAAATCGAGAAATTTAAGTGTTGTAAGTTCGGTAGCGCTCAAGTCGGTGTTAGGGGAAATGGTGCACTTTTCAGTACCTCTCATATGTAGAACTCTGCAATGCTCATGTAATTCTGTTGTGATTAAAGCTTTTGAGGGATCTCACTTTCTCCAGCTTTGTATACATAAGTTAAAGCTTTTACGGAATTATCCTGATTTGTATACATAATTTTGTAATGATGTATCACCGTAAAAAAAAAACAAAATCTTATAAAGTCCGGCGATGCTGAATATTTTAAAGAGATATTATTCTTCAGAAGCATGATAGTTTTCATTTCTGTAGAAACGAGAAACATGTGTAAAATATATAATTCTTAAATATCGGATTTATAACATATAATATGCTAAACACATGTAGAAAAAAAGCGTTGTATAGTCTATAAAACAGATTGTGATAAAGGTATCAAATTATAAGCAAAGTGGTGTTTTGACTTCCATATACAAAATACCAAGTCACTAACAAAAGCAGTACTGATTGTTTTTGTTGTTTTTTAATATTGCTTAGCTATATAATATTGTCAATGTGTATTATTTTGGAGTCTGTAACAAAACACGTACATTTTTTTTCTTATTTTCA